GGCATCCCTCCTCAGGCCTGGCTGCCTCATGGGATGCCACATGACTCAGCCCCGGGAGCTGCCAGGCACGGGGGAATGAATAGGGAGAGGGGCCAGGGCCATGACAGCACCGTCCTCCCACTGGTGAAAGACCCCAAGCAGCCATAACCCTCTGGGGCTCCCTAGGGCACCTGAGGCAGGAAAGGGGCTGAGCCGGGCTGCATGTGAGAGCAGGGACAGAGGCGTTCCTGCCTTCCTGCCCCAGCCATGCCGCAGGGTTGCTGGTGTCCCACCTTGGCCACACCTCCTCTGGACGTCCCGGGGCCGTCCCGGCGCTCCAGCTTGGCTCGGGGTGCCGCCGGCATCAAACCTGCGGCACTCCCTCCTCTCTCCTCCCTGTGTCCTCCTCGAGCAACGCCGAGGGGAGGAGTTGCCTGCGCGCCCCTGGGGCAAACGGCCACGGAACCAAAATCGTGACGAAAATGGAAACAGGAAAAAAAAAACTATCATAAAAAAAAAAATAGTGACAAAGGGAAAAACCACTAATTCCCTAGCGGAGTACAAAGACCTGGAAAAGTGATGGAGCAACAACAGCGTCTTTGGAGCACGAAGGGCACGGCCACGCGCCTCCCACCTCCAGCACAACACGATTCGGGGCCCTGGGAGCGCAGCGGGCAGGTGTCCGGCCGAGTCCGTGCCCCGGCGGGGAGGAGGAGGGCTGGCCGGGAGCCCGGACTGCTCAATGCTCACCACATCCGAGGAGAGGCTTTGGGGAGGGGGGTAAGCGCAGGGTCAGGCCCCAGCAGCGGGCAGCGGCCCTCGCCCCAGCCCGGCGACCTCGTCCTCTAGCGAATTGTGCGGCACAGCGCCCGCCAGCTTCAGTCCGCCTCCCGCTGCACCTCCGACGCGTCCGCCCGGCAGATCGGGCACGTGCGGTTCGCCTGCAGGCAACCAGAGACAAGGGCAAGTGAGCGGGCACCCCACGGCACCAGCTGCACCCACACCCCACTGGCAAGGGCTGGAACCACATCCTGGGAGTGCCCGATCCAGCCTGGCACAGTGCTTGACCCCAACTCCCAGTGCATCCATCCTGTGCTGCAGGGCACTAAGACCACCCAAAAGGCAGCACTCAGCACCCGCAGCACTCCAAGAAGCCACGCTCCCCATAGAGGGCACAGGCAGTACCTTTAACCATTTGTCGACACACTTGGCGTGGAACTCGTGGTTGCAGGGCAGGACGCGGAGAAGCTGTCGGGCCTCAAAGTCGCTGAAGCACACGACGCACCTGGAGGAAGCAGCCGTCAGTAGAGCCCCACCTCCAGCCACGGCCCCACCACCAGCCACAGCCCCCAGCACCTCAACAGGCCCCCCATGTGCAACCTGGGCTCACTCACAGGGTCTGCTCGGACTGGTGGCTCTCGGGGTTGAAGCGGTAGGACGGGAGGTGCTCGATGTCTGCTTTGGTGAGTCCCCGTGGCTTGGCCTCCCCCAGCCGCTCGGCCAAGTTCAGCAGTGCCTGGAAGGAGATGCAGCGACCGGCTTAGCTCATCTGATGTCCCAGCACAGCACCCCTCCAGGCTCTCCCCTCCCAGTAGAGGGATCACCACAGCCGCCCACCTCCCCCATCCCAGCATCCTGTGGGGAAGCTGAGCCTACACACCTCGTAATTCTCCATCTCCACATCATCCACATCCAGGTCTAGGCTGATCGTGGGCCCCACGGCTGTCGGCGACACAGGAAGCATAGAGCTGGGGGGGAACGATGGGACAGTCAGTGTGGGGCCACAAAACCCAACCTCCGCCCTGGCATCCCCACGGGGGCAGAGCCACCTGTGCCAACACTGTGTTACTGTGTGCCCCATCCAAAACACCACCCCTGCCCTACACCATATCCCCCCGGTACTCAC